GAGGCAGAAGGATCACCTGAGCCCAGCGGGTCAAGGCTGCAGTGGCTGTGAGTGTGCCACGGCATTCCAGCCTGGGGTGACAGAGCAAGACTCTGACTCAAAGAAAAAAAATCTCCTTTATAAGATGTACTATCTGGCTGGACATGGTGCCTCACGCCTGTAATCCCAGCACTTTGGGAGGCAGGAGGATCACTTGAGCTTAGGAGCTCAAGGCCAGATTAGGCCACACAGTAAGCTCTCATCTCTACAAAAAATAAATAGCTGAGTATAATGGTGCATGCCTGTAGTCCTAGCTACTTGGGAGGCTGGCACAGAAGGATTGCTTGAACCCAGGAGTTGGAGGCTTCAGTGAGCCATGATTGTGCTACTGCACTCCAGCCTGAACAACAGACTAAGAGCCTGACTTTAAAAAAAAAAAAAAAATTAGGCCAGGCATGGTGGCTCACACCTTTAATCCCAGTACTTTGGGAGTCTGGGTGGGAGCTTTGCCTGAGGTCAGGAGTTCAAAATTAGCCTGGCCAACATAATAAGATCCCATCTCTATTAAAAAAAAAAAAAAAAACAAGCTATATCTTGGGACAAAAGCATATGTAGAATACCTGTATTGTGTATTTAATGTGTACATATATGCATAGTCTCTCAAATATGGTATATGTTTATATTTTACACATGTGCATATGCATATAACTGCATATTATGAAATCAAGAATGAAATTTTTTTAGTGAATGGTTGATGACTGAGCTAAAGGCTGTAAAATGGCAGGGCTCCAATCAGCTCAAATTGTTTACAGTAGCAATTTACCTGAAGCCTTTGAAGCTAAAGAATAAATTGCCTTTGTCAGCTATTAACTCTTAAAGCAGCATGAGGTTCTTGGCAGCCTGACTCCAACCAGAACTGAGGGAGTAGTCATTTTTTCCCCCAATACACTCCTATGACGTCTTTAGCCGTGCCATGCTTGCAGTGAAAAATAATCCACACATTTGATTCTTAAACTCAGTAGGACAGAAATTAGTTTTAACGCCATGGATAGAGTTAAATCACAGCCAAAATACCAAGACCTCATAGGCTTGACACCATCCAACAGAGCTGTAGGTTTAAAGCTCACAAAACTGATACTTAAAAAAAATAAAAATTTGGCCAGGTGCAGTGACTCACACCTGTAATCCCAGCAATTTGGAAGGCCTAGGTGGGAGGACTGCTTGAGCCCAGAAGTTTGAGACCCAGCCTGGGCAACATAGTGAGATATCATCGCTCCAAAAATTAAAAAATTAGTCAGGCGTGGTGGTGGGCCAGTAGTCCCAGCTACCCAGGAGGCCAAGGTGGTAGCATCACCTGAGCCCAGGAGGTCAAGGATACAGTGAGCCATGATTGAGCCACTGCACTCCAGCCTGGATGACAGAGCGTGACCCTGACTCAAAAAACAACCCCCCCCCAAACCATTAAACAAGTAACGCTGGCAGTATAACAGGTCTGGGGGTACAGTGGGAAGCAAGAAAAACAGGAACCCTGTTTTCATGAAGTTCAATTAAGTCCTGTTGAGTGATGGGTTGAAATTATCTATGTGACACCTTTGGTGAGTTATTTTGAGCCCCAGCACAAAGCATTCATTCAGGAATTTCTTTTATCCATTCTCCAACCATTCCCATTCTACACAGCACAAAGCTGACCTATAAAAAAAAAATTTTTTTTTTACTTTTATTTTTTTGAGTCAGAGTCTTACTCTGTCACCCAGGCTAGAGTGCAGTGGCACGATCACGTCCACCACAGCCTTGACCTGCTGGGCTCAGGCAATCCTGCCTCAGCCTTCCAACGAGCTGAAACTCAGGTGCACTCCACCAGGCCCAGCTAATTTTTTTTTTTATTGTAGAGACGTTGTCTCGCTGAATTGCCCAGGCTGGTCTCAAATCCCTGGGCTCCATCAATCCTCTTGCCTTCGCCTCTCAAGGTGCTGGGATTATAGGCATGAGCCGCCATGCCATGCCTAGTCAAAACTGGTCTTTTAAATGGCTCTAGACAGCACCCATTCAGGGAGTTCCTTGGAAAACTTCATAGCTTGTGTTATCACTTAGTTCTCTTCCAGGAACTGGTAGGATGTGGAGGGAGCGCCTGTTGTTTGAGCTCATAGATACCTCCTTTTGTAAATACCATTCTTTTTAAGGCTGAAGGCTTGGCCGAAGTCAGTTTTAATCTATCACTGATAAAGTTATCATGTAACCCAGTGTCTGCAAATGAGCTATAAAAAACACCTTAGAAATACAAAAGGATTGCACTGTGATCTGTGAGTCGAAGCTAATTTTAAGTGAGAAGGTAGAAAGGCAAATACCCTGCTTGTTTCCACCTACTGACCCTGTGAACTCAGAATTCCTTTTCACGCCATGTTTTTTGTCAGGGAACTTGTTACCATGAACAAATACCACAAGTGTGCAGGTCATGACCACTTCCGTCTAGCACTTACACTGTAGAGAAAGCACCTAACCAAGAGCCTGCAGGGATGACCCAGGAAAGGAAGTTCAGCCTCAGTTGGGGAGGTGGAAGTAGAGATTCAGTTGAAGTAGGAGTAATTGTATAATCTGACATCTAAACCAGGAAAATACTGAAGGTAAGAGAGGGCACTATAACTATGCTGGAAAAAACAGGTGTAATACTGGGACTGTTCCCAGCTAACAGGATCACCCTACTTCGAAATTTAAATCATGATCATGTCAGGAGCCAACCTTTTTGTCTTGTTTCGGAGTCTCACTCTCACCCAGACTGGAGTGCAGCAGCACGCTCACGGCCACCGCAGCCTCGACCTGCTGGGTTCAGGTGATCCTTCTGCCTCAGTCTTCCAAGTAGCTGGAATTACAGGCATGTGCTACCATGCATAACTAATTTTTTTTATTTATTGTGGAGACGAAGTCTCACCAAGTTGCCCAGGCTGATCTCGAACCCGTGGGCTCGGGCAAACCATGTCTGGGCCTCCCAAATTGCTGGGATTACAGGCTGGAGCCACCACGCCTGGTCCAGCAGCCAACCTTCTTAAAAATCGTGTATATCTAGAATTACATGGGACTAGAGCAGGCCGGGTGTAGTAACTAATAATTCCAGCACTTTAGGAGGCGGAGGTGAGAGGATTGCCTGAGCCCAGGGGTTTAAAACTAGCCTGGGCAACTTGTTGAACCCTCATCTCAATAACAATAATAATATTAGCCAGGCATGGTGGTTGGAGACTGTGGTTCCGGTTACTTGAAATGCTAAGGAAGCATCTCCTGAGCCCAGCAGGTGGAGGCTGAGGTAGCCATGATCGTGCCACTGGACTCCAGCCTGGGAGTCAGTGACTCTGACACACACACACACACACATACACACACCAAAAAAACAAAAACAGACTAGAGCAAAACATGCACTTGCCTGAAAAAGTGTCACTAAGAATTGTTATCATAGGCCCCAGGTTGGATAGTACATACTGCCTTTAAAATTTAAAAAAAAATCCCTAATTGCAATGGATAATGCCTTTAATTTCAGTACTTTGGGAAGCCCAGGCAGGAAGATTGCTTGAGCCTAGGAGTTTGAGACCATACTGGGCAAGATAGTGAGACCTTATCTCTACAAAAAAATTTAAAAATGAGCCAGGTGTGGTAGTGCATGCCTGTAGGTCCAGCCTCTTGGGAGGCTAAAGGGGAAGGATAGCCTGAGCCCGTGAAGTCGAGGCCATGGTTAACCTTGCCACTGCACTCCAGCCTGGGTGGCAGAGTAGGATTTCGACTCAAAAACAATTACTATTACCCACATGATTGCTACTACCAGTTATATTAATAGCGGCTGGGTCCAATGGCTCACGCCTATAATCCTAGCACTCTGGGAGTCTGAGGTGAGCAAACTGCCTGAGCTCACGGGTTCAAGCCCAGCTGTATAATTTGGCGAGCCCTCATCTCTACAATAAATCAAAAAATTAGCCGGGCATGGTGGTGCATGTCTGTAGATCCAGCTACTTGGAAGGCTGAGGCGGAAGGATAACCTTAGCCCAGCAGGTCGAGGCTGCTGCGGTGGCTGTGAGCCGCGTGCCACTGCACTATAGCCTGGGCTAGAGTGAGACTCACTCAAAAAAAATAGTATTGCACATTACTTGTTGAACAAATAACTGCTTTTTGCCAGTTGTGTGCAAAGCATCACAGCAGGAGGGAGCTCCTCCCCAGTCTGGTGAGGAATGAAGTTAAGGTGGGATTGGCCCGGATAAGGAGGAAGAGCTTCTAGGACCATGGACCAAGAGAGGCCCAGGGGCAAGCTCCCAAGAGCTTCTGGGAGAATGGCAAGCAGTCCTAATGCAAGGCAAACTATATCCAAGAACAAGCCTATCCCCAGGGCACAGCCAGCCTCGGAAGGCTTCAACCAAGGTGGCAAGGTGGCTAATATTTGCTATTTAAATGAAAGCTGGGCAAAGAAGGGTAGGGATAGTAAAACCAGTTAAATCCCACATTAAACACTTCAGCTGTTGTATTAAGCCAGGAGTGGTTAAAACAATGTTATAGTGTGGCAGGTCAAAATCAAACTCAGAAGCATAGGAGAGGGAGCAGGGGTTATATCCTGCTATAAAACTCAAGGGCTAGAAAATGCCAAGTTCGATTAAGCCTAGGCAAAAAAATGTAATTCCAGAAATCCCAAACACTCAAGTTAGAGAGGTACAGGGAAGGGCTGGTCAGCAACATGACACCATAAAAACTAAAAGAACAGATAAGCCTGGCCTTATTTTGCCTCTTAAATATATATAGGAACTCATGGAGGGGTATGGTAAAAAACACAACAGTACACACTCCCCTTTTTGGGCACCAAGTCAAGGAATAAAATGGCACAGATGTAAAAGAACCACAAAGAAACAAGTCAGAAGAGATCTTATAAATGTTAGGCTGATTTATAAGTGCTACTCTGGGCAGTTACACAGTTTGTTTACAATGAGGAGTTATCTAACTCTGAACATACCGTACATGGCAATTAGAAGTCGTCAAGGCAAGAGGAAACCACAACCAACACAAAACACCCAGAACAGGGAGGGAAATGCAGGGAGAAAGGTAGAGTTGGTTTCTTATTTGTCAAAGGCAAAGATAACTCCTCAGCAGTCTGAACAAAGGAAAGGGATACTTGGCACTGGGAGAAAAGACACCAGGATAAAAATTACATGTGTTGTGACTCCAGCTGTCCCCATCTCCCCTAAGAGCAGAGAAGGACAGTTGAGGCAAACCAGCAATTCTGTAAAAATTACTTAGAAACCCTACAAATCTGATTAGAATCTAAACTTCTATTTTGCTTTAAAAAATTTTTTTAATATATCAAAAGGCCTGCTTTAGTGACATGCTATTCCTACCAGAAAATAACCCCAATAACCCCTCTGTCAGTAACATGCTCAAGTTGACCAGCCAACTCTTATTTCTAAACCCTTGTGTGAGGACAAGTATATGTGCCTTTTATACCAAGGCCACAGGGATCAAGTGACTGCTAGTCACAAGTGTCACCTGGTAACTAGCCAGTGTCCACTACCTCTGTTGGGTGGGCAGGGCAGACAAACCCCAAGGTGGTAATGAGGGAATGAGCCCCAAATCACCAACTTACCAAGAATCACTTCCCCCCACCCCCTACTCAAAAGAAGATACTCATTTCTACAGACTATCTGTTCAAGTTCGGCTCCCTGTGACCTAATGGTTTTCTCCTTTAGAAACACAAACATAATCCATACAACCATATATAATTTTTTTGTTTTTACATTTAAATATAAAAATACTACTCTGCTTTGTGTGATACTTGAAGAACCGAGCACTAAGAACTTTTTCTTCTTTAAGGTAGGGAGCTCCATCCATGTATGCACTGAGCTTTGTATTTAGGCCTTGAGCTCCAGCAAAAGAAGCCCAACAGAGACCAAGGGTATTTTCTCCCCTGATCCCCAACCCCTACCCTCTCTCCTAAATCCCACTTTTAACTGTATAACCTCCTTTTCCACCAAGAGGGGAAGTCCTAACCTAACCAGGGGGAATCAGGTCTTCCCCTTTCATCTACTTCGAAGAAGAGTCTTTCCCCTCCTGCAAACATGCACTCAGTCCCGACAGCTAAGCCTACTGGATAGGCACACCCCATTAAATAGAAGCAGTGGTTATGTTTTCCCGCCCCCCTCCCCACTAACACACTAGAAAGCTTCAGTGACAGGGAAAAAAAGGAGGGTGGGTATGAAGAGATTAAGAACTTGATCCCTCCACCTGGTCAAAGAAAGATTAATTGGGATCAAGGAATACAAAGACCTTGATATTCCCCCCTGTGAGTTACAACTGGGAGAGGGGGAGATAAGTTGGAGTGGGATGAGCTAGGAGGGGCTCAATGGCTGGAGGTCTAGTCCACTTAATTTTTGTACTGGAAGGGCTCATCGCCAGTTTCATTGAGAAGACATGTGCGGATAAGGGCTTCTGTCACCGCAAAGGGGTCGCAGTTGGCAGACGGGCGACGGTCTTCAAAGTAACCCTTCTTCTCCTGGCCAACAGTCCGGGGAATGCGGATGCTGGCGCTACGGTTGGCCACGCCAGCAGAAAAGTCGTTGATGTTGGAGGTTTCATGGAATCCAGTGAGGCGCCGGGCATTGTCCAGTCCTCCCTTGGGATCATAGGCACGAATGTGGTACTGGTGCCGCTTGCTTAGTTTCTCGATGGCCTCCTCAATGTACCTAAAGGACACAGAAAAGACGGAGATCCAACCTTGTCTCCATTCCTTGTCTTCAGGGCAGGAGCAGGTATGGATCCCAGAATGAAGTTCACCAAAACATGGCCCCAATGGAACAAAAAAATATACACCACAAGGGCAGTGACTGCCTGAGCCCCAGTGCTCAGAACAGTGCCTGACAAGCAGTAGAAAGTCAATATTTGAACGAAAAGGCCCTAATCACTTGAAACTTTCTCCCACTCAAACATTAAGCTTCTCTACATGCTCGTAATTGTTAAGTTATGTAGTTCTTATTAAAAATTTTCACAGGCCAGGTGTGGTGGCTCACATCTTGTCATCCCAGCACTACTGGAGCCCAGGAGTTCAAGACCAGCCTGGGCAACACAGCAAGATCTCATCTCTACCAAAAAAATACAAAAAAAAAAATTATATATATATAAAGTGTGTGTGTGTGTACATATATGTTCTGGTAAAAAAAACTAAAAACAGTTTTCAAACACATAAATCTATAAATCTATGTCAACTTCTCCCCATCACTGTTCCTTAATTTCATTCCTAGAGAATTATTTGACACTTTTCAAATGCGGACAGAATGATAGGATCAGGAAGTTTTTGAGGCCAAGTGTCAACAGCTTGGGTCTGTCTAGACTGAGGAGTCTAGCTTACTCATTCATCCCTGATATAAAGATCTGCAAGTCATCTTGCAAAGGAGACTTTGCTGAGACTGGTAACTCCTCCAGTGACCCCAGCAGCAGGTACTCACTTCAGACCATTCTCCTCCCGCATGGCCTTAGTGCTGAAGTTGGTGTGGCAGCCTGCACCATTCCAGTTCCCAGGAATGGGCTTAGGGTCGAAGGTTGCGATCACTCCAAAGTCTTCACACACACGATGCAAAATGAAGCGTGCCACCCAGAGATGATCTCCCATGCTGATTCCTTCACAGGGTCCGATCTGGAATTCCCACTACAAAGGAGAAGGTTGCCCACTAAAGCCAAGCCAACTGCTTGCCCCAACAACTCAGAGGCTCCTAACCCAGCTTCCTTCTCACCTCTACTCCAACCCACTCTTGTGTTTTGGGTTAGTGAATGGGTTATCAGCAGTCCTTGCTAGCAGAAGTCTTCATCTGCCTAGCCACCCTTCTTCAGAAGGGGCAGTGACGGATTACGCCATTTACCTGGGCAGGCATGACCTCGGCATTAGTTCCCACTATCTTGACTCCAGCATACAAGCAGGCCCGGTAATGAGACTCCACGATGTCCCTGCCGTAGGCTTTGTCTGCTCCCACACCACAGTAATATGGACCTGCAGAAGCACCAAGATAAAATGTTTACGAGTCAGGAGATCCAGAAAATTCCAAAGTCAGAAATCAGAAGGTCCATAACACTTGCTCTCTCATTTCACTATTCCTGCCTTCGCCTGCAGATGGGGGGAGGGGAATGTGGGGTATGGGGGTCTTCTTCGCCATAGCTTCAGTGGACCAAAGGTTTCCCCCCAGTCCTTTTTTTTTTACATCTTCCCATCCATTTATGGATCTGGGCAATGTGAAGGCTGTTAGGCTTTTATCATATTTGTCAACCAGTCTCAGCTTCCTGGTTCAAAAACAGTCATCTCTGGGGAAAGTGGTGATCCTAGGCAGCAAAACACTTGGGGAGCAGTTTCACCTCTAATCCAAGAAGACTTACCCTGGGGCCCAGGGAAACCATTGGAAGGCCATCCAAAGGGGTGCCCATCTGTCCCCATGAGAGTATATTCCTGCTCCATTCCGAACCAGGGGTGCTGGTTGCTCACCATGTCCATTATCCGTTTACAGGTGTGCCTCAAGTTGGTCTCTAAAAAAAAGTAAGAGTCAACACACCATATCAGGAACTGAGGTCCACACATGCTGAATGTCATTACTGATGGAAAACAGTCCTTGGATTCTACGCAGACACATGCATTAGGCTGAACTAAGCCAGTGTCATTCTTTTTGTGTTCCATCACTGCAAGCCAGAAAGATGGAGAAGCTGTAATTGTACGTTTGTAGGGAAACTCTGAAAAGACTTCAGTTATAACTCAGCTCCATTACAAAAAAGTCACATGGGAGTGGATTCAGAACGGGGCAAGTGCTCACCTTCTCTGCATACTAGCCACCTTCCAAGCAACAAAATGCAAGCCACTTAACCCTCACAAGGCAGTTGCTTCTTATTGTCACCCATTCCCAATTTCTCAAGCACTTAGAGTCAAACCTATCATTTTTATTGAGAATCATTTGTCCATTGGGGGGGGCCTACATGTCAGGTGAGATTAAGTGCTTAAATTATATAGTATTGGCTGGTGCAAAAGAAAAGCAGAAAAATGAGATGAGCTCAACTGAAAACAACTTCCAAGCTAGATAGGAACTTTAATGGACTTGTAATAACTGCTTAACTACGTCCTAGGAACCATTTTAAGACCTTTACATTAAAAAAAAAAAAAACAAAGCACTCAATAGTCTTCACAACAACCCCGAGGTAGATTTTTTACAGATGAAAACGAGGCTCAGGTGTATGTTAGGCCACCTTGACGAGGTTACAAGACAAGCAGTAGGGCCAGGAGACCCATGGGTATCTTGCCTTCAGAGCCTATTCCCTTTACTTCAATGATACTGTCCTAAAACAAAGATCCAGACCCAGTAAGTCTCACTGGCAATGCAAGAGACTTCATCTAGGTTTAAAAAGATGGCTGGCTGAAAACTGGTAACAGACATGTCAGACAGGTTACAATGGCGCAAAGGTACCCAAAGGTGCAATTACAGAAAATCTTGTAGCAAACATGTTTTGTTTTGTTTTTAAGGCTAGTCAAATGAAGCAGCAGGAATGTTACAAAAAAAAAATCAACAAGAAATGTGTAACTAGTTAGTCTCAACCAGTTGTAAACACCGCTGCACGTGGACCAGCCACCAACATTACGTTAATAACGAATCAAGATGTTTACACTTGGTGGTTGAGTGAAACAGCAACCGATATTTGATGTAGAGTTGTTCTAAATGATTTGCACATATCTCACAAACAACTTTGAGATATGCTATAATTTCCTCCATTTTGAAGTCAGGGAAACAGGCCATATGTGGTAGTTCACACCTGTAATTCCAGCACTTTGGGAGGCAGAGGCAAGAAGATTGCCTAAGCCCAGGTGTTCATCAAACCCAGCCTGGGCAACTTGGTGAGACCTCGTCTCTACAATAAATGAAGAATCCATGCCAGTTTTAGAAGAATTCATGCCACACTAAGCAACCAAGAGGGACTGGGCCATAGCACCTCTTCCTCAAAGAGGAAGTTCAGGTTGAAGGGATGGACATTCAGTCCCCAGATTCTTTTGAGACAGGTATTCTGTGGCATAGGCTGGGAGTACAGTGGTACGATCTCAGCTCACTGCAGCATCGACCTCCTGGGCTCAAGTGATCCTCCCCAGCATCAACTTTTTGAGTAGCTGGGACTACCATATCCAGCTAATTTTTTTATTTTTTGTAGAGAAAAGGTCTCACTATGTTGCCTAGGCTGATCTCAAACTTCTGGGCTCAGGCAATCCTCTCACTTTGACCTTCCAAAGTGCTGGGATTATCGGTGTGAGCCGTTGCAACAGCCCAATGCTCAGATTCTTAAAACAGTCCTGAAACAGCCCTGCTTCCCCTGCACTAATTTCAGAATGTCTGCTCCCTCCCCTTCATAGCATTCATGGATTGGAGCGGGGGCATCTACAACCTTCCTGCACACACCTGCAGGCTTTCTATTGTACTTGAAGACTTCACAGAACACCAGCTTGTTGGGGTCCTTGCGGAAGGGGTCCCGAAACATGGCAGCAGGCACAAGATACATGTCACTGTTGGAGCCTTCAGACTGTAAAGTACTAGAGCCATCAAAATTCCACTCGGGTAACTCTGGAGAGAAAGGAGGGAAAATTACATAAAAAATGTACAGGAGCTTTCCAGGCATTACAAACACAGCCAGCACTTCACTCACCTTTCCACCCCTAAAGATCTTTCTCTTTTCCAGGAAATCAGTAAGGCATAAATGCCACCGTTAATATGTAAACCTTGACACGTCTGTACCTAATCCTACAGTCCTTCCTGAGTTCCAGGTAAGACTACTGTATCACTTACGAAACAATAGTCCCAAGAACCCAAGGAGAACATTCCTTCCTAAATATGCCCAGGAGACAAACTGAAGTATTCTATTATCACTACCAGTCATTCATTAATTTAAAATCCCCAAATGGGAAAGACTCCAGTTCTTCTACAAATTCAACTACATTGCTTCCTAGTCTCATTCCCCTGTGGTTATGGTCAAGTTGTCTCCCAATTTTATAGATGAGGAGACTGACAACTAGCAGGGTGACTTATCCAAGGATGCTCCCTTATCCCTTATCCACTTTCCCCTCTATGATTCAAAGGCGAGTGTTTCTCCAGAGAACGCAAGTTCTGTCACGCACTAAGCGCAAATATAGGCTTTATGTTATGGGTCATTCATTCACTCAAATGTGAACACGATCAGATACGTAAGCTAGCCTAAAGTCAGTAGGAGGTGGTACTGTCTGTCCTCTGACCCCTTTCCAGAAGGGGGATGACTATGGCTTGTTCTAGACTAAAAAATGAAGGTCACAACTATTATATAGTAGTAGCTCTCAGAAGAATAAGCAATCAGTTCAAGAATTTCCAAAAATGGCATCAAGTAAGAAACAGTCCCATTTAGAACCACTTAGTGCATTTGATTTGCATCTGGGAACCTAGTGATAGCAGTATTAAACAATTTTCAAAGAGTTTATAGACTAGATGGCATACTTCGATTAGTGCAGCTTTTCAAACTGGGTTCCTGAGGGTGTCATAGAGCCAGCTATGTAGGGATGCCCAGGTCAGCAAAATCTCCAAGCCCCTCAAGCCTCCACAAACCAGATTTTAAAATTTATATTCAATATACTGGCTTACATGCAAGATTCCACTTAAATAAAAGGCTCCATTGTTGCTATGTTTTGAGGCCACGTAGGAGCTTAACGTTGGCGGAATGAAGCCTGAAAAGCCCTGTCTTAGAAAAGCTTTACAAACAGAATAAAGAGGTCTAATCCAGGTCTGAGGCTGCTAACCACCCCCACGCAGGTCCCACCTAGCACGTTGCTCAGTCTCACCTTCCACACACTTGGGCTCAGAGTCCAGGGTACGGGTCTTGCACCGCAGTCCTTCTCCAGTACCATCAATCCAGATATATACAGCTTGCACTTTGTCACCCTGAGGCAGGGACATGTACACCTGCTTGACGCCTTTGTTTAGGTGGGAACTTGCTGAGGTGGCCATTGTGGAAGATGTTCTAGAGAGAAAACAAAGTGGTTACCTCCCATTCCAAACTGACCCCCTGAAGGAATGGCTCAAGAGGAACAATGGAATAAAGACAGAATGAAGTAACCACCTGCCACTTCCCCCTGGAAGCCAATACACTTGGAAGTTATATTCATTCTGCTTCCAGTCAGGGGGATTCATTTTATATTACGCAAAAATCTCCCTATAATGGGCTGTAAAAATTTGGTCAGCACCTTCTGAAGCAATTAAAGCAAATGCCTGATTTTAAAAAACAAAACAAAAAGAACACACAAAAAACCAGATCAAGCTCTCAGTAGTTTAGCTTTTGATGCTTCCGCATCCTTGAGCTCACGGTTGAAGATTCACAGCTGTACAGATTTTAAAATTTGAAGCTAAAACTTATACTTGTGAGGACTAAGCTCGATTTGCTCAGTGTAACTGAGGTAGTGGGAATTTTTAAAAAAATACTAAGCTACTGGAGGAAACAAAAAAATACGAAAGCTCAGTAACAGAAAGTTTATAAAACATTCCTCCCAATACAAGAAAAATCCAACCACAGAAAGGCTTGGCTGCTATGATTTCTGTATGAATTTTCTCTGTCTTTATCTAGTCGTGGTCTTCACGGCGATCAACTCCTCATACTCCTCTCAAAAACAAAAACTTCTACACATTTAGGTTTGAAGATGACACAAAGTTACAAGATTTAAAAGGCTGGTGCCTTCCTACAAGAAATAAAAGAACTGCACTATTACCATCACCAAGATAGTTAGAATAGCTGATTCAAGTTGGATTCTAAGGTTTAGGCTGCCACAATTTCCAGTGGTCTGACGCAGTTCTCACTTAAGATAGGCTCCACAGGAGAATTACACTATCCTAAGATTCCACTAGAGAACTTCCCAAGGAAACAGAAAATACCTACTTTTTTTTTTTGAGTCAAGAGTCCTACTCTGTTGCCCAGGTTAGAGTGCAGTGGCACGCTCATAGCCACCACAGCCTTGACCTGCCGGACTCAGGTGATCCTTCCGCCTCAGCCTTCAAAGTAGCTGGAACTACAGGCGCATGTTACCACGCCTGGCTTATTTTTTTATTTACCGTAGAGATGAGATCTCGCCAAGTTACCGAGGCTGGGCTGAAACCCCTGAGCTCAGGCAATCCTCTCTCCTAGACATCCCAAAGTGCTGGGATTACAGGCTAGAGCTACCGTGCCTGGCTTCCCCACTTCTAAGTCAAAAAGATTTTGGACTTCAAAAGCTCTGAGGCATGCTAAAAACTATAAGCCACTACACCACAAAACCTCTAAAAGGAGAGAAACTCTGAAGCCACACACCACCCTCAACACAAGAGGAAACGCTCTCTCCTCCTCCCTCCCCTGGCCAGAAAGACTGGAAAGAGAACACACTGTTCTCCTCCAGTGACTTGGGCAACTTTCTGGAGTACAGTGGCTAAGTTTCTATGGGCAACTGTCCATGTTTGCCCAGCTGAAAACATAACAGCGTCTCCCTCTGATGGCTTCACCCTTACCCTTGGAGGAAGAGCACAACCTCCTCTGTCAAATTCGATTAGGGAACCAACACCTTTGCCTCCAGCGCCTAGATTTGTCCGGCCAAATCCCACTAGAAGCTGCAACCCCAACATCTCAGCTTCCCTTCCCCCAACCTGTTACACCTGCAACACGCACACTTTCTCTTAAGTCTCAGTCCTGAATCCCCTGCTCTCTTCTGTGAGACGAGTCGGATGCCTGCAGTCTACCTAGTGCACTGCATCAACTGGCGCCGCCGCGGTGTCAAGTTTTTAAGGGTGGGGGCGGACTCTGAAGGTTTGTTTGTTTGCTTGCTTGCTTGTTTTACAGCAGTTTCTGCAGCTGCCATCGGCTCCGGGGTCGCCCTTCCTGCCCCCTCACTCACCCCAGCCACACAAGGTCAAGCGTCTCTTTGGGGTTGCCCTCCTTAGCCCTTCTCTTTTTGGAGTGGCGTTCGTGCCTCTCCTCTGTTTTGGCCTCTCGCTGGTCCGAGCAATAGAACTTTCTGGGCGAAGGCGAGGGCGACGAAGAGGGGGATGGCGGGCGGTCGGATCGGGAGGTGCTGGAACAGGCAGGCCGGTTGAAGGTCCTCACTCGTGGTTTCTCTCCAGGGTTCACTGAGAAGGCATAGAAGCCGAAGCGGGTGGCGGGGGAACCGGAGGATCGCGGCGTCTCGTCGTCTGCATCTTCATCCGTTGCTCTCTTCGTGGATTTGCGGCAGGGGGAGGACCCTCTCTTCCCGCCCCCGGGAGAGTTGGGATAATCCACTTTGAAAGCTGCCCTTCCCACTGAAATGCCCCGAAAGTCGACGCCCCGCTGAGCCCAGATCTCAAGGCCTCACGAGCGGGCCATACTCCGCAGCCGAGGGGCCTGGGGGC